TGTTCAGGTCATCATCAAAATATTCAAGATCAGTGTTGATACTACAAAAGGAATCACCATCAACTTCATCTGGAGTATTTTCGTTTCGTTTTGCAGAAATGGAAATTTCCAAATAATTGTAGACTGTGGATGAATCACAATCTTCCTCTAATCTTTTTAAATAATTTTTAGATACAAATTTATAATTTAATCTCTACTTATGCAGACATGTTATCGTCAGTATTGACAAAACGTAAACCATTCGACCGCTCATCGTAGCCCATAAAGGTTAAAAATTCGGATTTATTGTCGAGTTTCTTTCTCTTCACTTTGGGTGTTAACACGAATGCTTTGGAACCAAAAATTTTAAAATTATTTATATCAGGCTTCTGACCCTCCTATTTTGTAAATAATTTGAGCACATAATGTCCTCACCCCAATACATGTTTGATATACCAGCCTCTTCGAGTAGACAACGAGCCATTTCAGCAAGATATTTTTTTTTTCTTTCCGCTACGCCGTTTTGTTGAGGACAGTACGGGACAGAAAATGTTGACACAATACCATAGCTCTGCAACATGTCAACCATTCTTTTCGACTTATATTCTGCTCCGTTGTACGACATAATTCTTTTCGGGACTCTTCCGAATTTGTTCTTAACCATATTAATGTAGATTTTCATGTTATCGAAGACTTCAGATTTTTGGTTAAGCAAATACACCACAGTATATCGACTATAATCGTCAATCAATGTTAAAAAAATATTTCTTTCCACCTGGGGTGACAGTTGGCATTGGGCCGCAAATATCGGTATGAATCAAATCGAGAACTTCCCCACTTTTGGCCACCGATTTTTTAGAAAATACATTTTGACTCATTTTGCGCAAACTTCACATACTTTACGAATTTTACAATCTACCAAAAACATTTTAACCATACCAGTCCGCATAGCCTTGACAGCATTAATGTCCCAAAAAATCTTGTGGTAAAAATGTTGACATCGATTCCTACTACAAACAGCAGTTTTTTCATGTTGATACAAATTGCCAACGCATTTCAGAACACCAACTTCGTTGTTATTTTCATCGAATATTTTATAGCACGGACCACAGAACTGCACTTTAAAGCCAACAGCAGACATTTTCCTAACAGACACCAAATTTCCATTAAACTGAGGAATGTACAAGACATCATCCAGAGTTACCGCAAATTCAGCACCATTTGCGTTCATCAATTTAATTTTGCAGCCACCTTTACCAACAGAATGTACTGTGTTGCCACTTGCAACAGTGACTTTTTAACGCCAATTTAAACCAAGTTCGAAGAATTCCTCTTTTGTACTACAAATGTGACTCGTAGCACCGGAATTGATCACCCAAGTACCGGATTTACCATTCAATGGGAAACAATAATTTTTGTAGACTTCATCTGTTTCGGCAACTTTTTGCAACTTTTTTTTTGTTGTCATTTTATGATTTATTGTTTTCAGCTTCCAACAATCTCTTCGGATATGACCGACACCGCAGCAATGATGACAAACTATCTTCTTCTTGTTATAATTTGATCTAGGTTTTTAATTTTTTTCAATACTTTGTCCTCCATAGCTTGTCTTTTCTTGTGCTTTTCAACCTCTTCGAGCAATTTATTTTCAACCAAAGTTATGGTCCCTAACCTCAAGAGCGGTAATTAATGTGTCATACGTAGCCGGTAGATTACTAAGTAGCATGGAAACCATCCAAGATTCCGACATCTTTTCGCCTAGCGACTACAATCTTGAAAATAACAATTTCATATCATGTATGTGTTTATCCATGCCACCACCGGGACTCAGCTTCAATTCGCAGATCGTTCTCATCAATTTTACTTTGTTGCTCAGAGTTGATTTAAAATATTCCACGCCTCCGCTGCATGAACGCTACCAGCAATACGAAAAACATAGGATTCTTCGGCAAACCAATTAAAATAGATGCCTCCGTATCACGCTCCTTCCATTTATTTAACGTCCCACATCAACAGCAGTTCTTAATTTTTTACGCGATTTAACTTTGTTACAAAGAATTTCACCTCAGACATCTCGAACAGCAAGAGCTTAATTACCAATCAGTTAGCACGATATTCAATAATTCAGATCTAAAAAACACGGTGGAACAAGATAGACACTGGGTCCATAACCAATTATAAAATGAAGGAAACACGTTGTATCGTTTCTTTTAACTATAATATACAAGAGCTTTATTGAATCCGAACGAGATGAAATTTGGAAAAAATCCATCCAATTGGGATGAAATTTTATTTCCACATAGACGAGTCCTATTGACATTAGTCAAAATCGGTTTAGATTTATATAGAGTAACTTCTGGTATTGTGGACCTTGCGTAAAATGTGGACCACCCACCATATCTAAGAAAATGCTTGAAATATGCCAATGCCACCTTGATAAATGTTTTCCTAATTAGTGAAAACAAACATCAAACTTGGTTTTTAATAAATAATTGCAATGTTGAAAATTTAGTAGGTGAAAATGTAGCTCTGATTGTAAAAGTGTGATTTGAAATTTTTTTAGCACAATAGTCGAACGATTTTGTAAAATAGTCGAACATTTTGTTTTTCTCGAATATAAAGAGGTTATGTGGTTTTCTTGCTTTCTTTAACAAAAATACACGCTTATCTGTAATTACTTTCGGTTAGTTTTAAATTTTTATTCATTTTTGAAGCCGATAATTATTTTTAAATAAAAATATTCAATGTCGGGTAATGTGGACCCCTATAAAAAAGTGGGACATTTTCATGAGGACGAGTTCGAAATAAGGGCACATTTAATATGCGAGGAGGTATTCTATCCTCTGAAAACTCGATATCCGAAATTATAGGTGCCTCGGTTGGATAATGATGCAAGGACCTTCAAAATACCGCAAATGGGGTGGTACCCTTAAATGGGAGCAATTCCAAAACATGGACCCATATATTTTTGCATTCATTGTTACCCAAGAGCGCAATAAATTGAAATTTATCACAATTAATCCACAACCTACCTTTCCACATTACCCGCCAAGTTATTTTTATTTGCAGTTTATAGTTTTTTGAAATATAATGCAATAACATTTTTATGGACAAATATATATAATTTTTGACCTGGAATATAATTACCCAACAAATCTACCATGCTGTGAAAACAATTTGTTTTTATTTTTTACCGTCGTTACGCCTACAATATCAAAAAAAGAAAATGGTGGTCCACATTACCCGAAGTTACTCTATAGATTCCATATATTTTTCTTTATTTACACATGTTTCTTTTTAATTTCAAAAAAAAAAAAAAATCAAACGCTTCAGTCGTCAACAAAAACTATGACGAAGAAATCTTCGACATCGTCGTCGTCACACATTGTTACGGAATACCAAAAATTTTTCAATAGTTATCGATAAATGTCGACAACGACATAGGGAATACCAATTTGCAAAAGACGACTCTCTTCGACGTCGTTTCGTGTCGACGACGACATACAGAATAGGGGTGTATGTCTTTGTCGACATTTATCGATAACTATTGAAACATTTTTGGTATTCCGTAACAAAGTGTGACGACGACGATGTCGACGATTTCTTCATCATTCACCCCTATTCTGTATGTCGTCGTCGACACAAAACGACGTCGAAGAGAGTCGTCTTTTGCAAATTGGTATTCCCTATGTCTTTGTCGACATTTATCGATAACTATTGAAACATTGTTGGTATTCCGTAACAATGTGTGACGACGACGATGTCGAAGATTTCTTCGTCATAGTTTTTGTTGACGACTGAAGCGTTTGAACATTTCTTTTTTTTTTTAGAAATAAAAAAGAAAAACATGACCGGACTAGAACAGGATACATCATTCTAGAATCTATTCAATACGTAATGCAAAATAAAGTGTAAATAAAGAAAAATATATGGGATCTATATATAAATCTGAACCGATTTTGACCAATGTCAATAGGACTCGTCTATGTGGAAATAAAATTTCATCCCAATTGGATGTATTTTTTCCAAATTTCATCCCGTTCGGATCATAATGGTGGGAGGTAACTTGTTTAAAATAATACATGAATGGAGGGACATGCATAAATCCACTGAAAAATAATTCTATGTACATATATACTAAAAAGTAACTATGGGTCGTTACTTTACTACTAAAAAGTTACTATGGGTCTCGTTTCTTTTTGGTCGTTGCAAACACATTTATCAAGACATAATGCCCTGTGCCACAGTGCAGTGAAGGATACAAACACATTTTTGCCCAAAAATATGCAACAAAATAAACAGCATTGATATTATCGATAAATAGTCGACATCGTCGCATGAGTGTTACAGAATACCAAATCAGTGTCGAAGTGATGTCGATGCGAAGTAATGTCGAAAGAGAAACGTCGTCGACAACGACGACGACATACGGAATAGGGGTGAATATTTCTTCCCATAACATTCAAAGATTTTACTCTCAAATGCTGCAATGTTAAATTTTGTACACATCTGAATACCATTAACCTAACCTTATGTTATTGTACCATGCATATAATCAAATTATTTGTACGTAGTATTTTGTGCCGTTGATGTCCTCCTCGATGGATCACCAAATTGTTTTTGGCGCATTGTACTATTTTACTAATTGTTATATTAAACTTTTGTAAAGTTTATATTAATTATTTTTGTGATATTCCAGTCCTACAATCCGACGTATACAAACCCGATTTCATCGTCAGTTTTTTTATTATAAGCCCTTTTCAACTCTCAAGAGAAATACAATTTAATAGGACAATTAACATATATTAACTGTATATTTAAATATTTTCAGAATTGCGAATATCGAGCTAACTATTTTAAAATAATAAATAAAATTTACCGCAAAGTACAACCCCGGCAGGAACACCCCTAACATATATTTTTGTTATTAGTTTATGTAATCAATTTAAAATTAATTTATATATAATAATCATATCTTCAAATGTTATTACTGACAACGCCAATTTCTTATTTAATTTCAGTGTGCAGGAAATCTACAAAACAACAACGTGGCACCTGACGATTTACAAAAATTATTTCCTATTGTAATCGAATTATTCTCAAAGATATTGATTTCAGAAGTTCACGAAAAGGTTCTATGTAAATCACTGGAATCATTTGGTACATGGTCAACGATTTTCACCGAAAATTTTAATGCTACAATATGTGAAATTGCCAAGAAAGGATTACAGCTAAAATCTACTACCCAAACAGTTCGACTATCATATTTGCAATGGCTCCTCACCACTATGAACGGAAAATCATTTCAATTAGATGAGAGTTTTATTACAACGTTGCTAAAATTTTTCGATCAAGGATTGCTTAATAGTTCTCAAATATCTCTAGTATCTGAAGCAGCATGTGTAGCATGTATATTTCTTAAAACAACGGGAGCGGAAAATAATGCGTCATTAATAAGCTTTTGGAATTCAATATTAGACCTAAATAAGTCTATATTTTTTACAGAAAGATTAATAGCATCATCGTCGCCGGATATTGCATGCTGTATAACTCTAATTGCACATCGACTTTTAACTGTTCATTACAAAAATATTAAAGGAAATTGTAATATTCTATTTCGGATAATAGTCCTCTCAATTTTATCCACTTCAAAAAAAGTACGAGACTATTCCAAAAAGCTCATACATCAATTAATATCTCATGAGCAGTGTATTGCGTTTGTAAATCAAGTTTTCGAGGAACTAAAAGATCAATTGACAACGAATGAAAAAACCTTTGAAGAACATGATTCACATGTACTGGGAAAATCCTTATCGGAAACTATACAATTATTGTGTAATCTACCAAATATTTCTAGAACCGATTCGGAATGTTTAGCTTTTCAATTAATTTTAATCTGTCATCACCCTTTAATAATGAATGTTGAACCTCTTTTGTGGGAGAGTTTAATAACACAACAATTTAAAATAGACCTTCAAGAATTTATGACATCTAAACATGCAGACATATTTGAAAATGTCGTTTTAAATTTCAAAGCAACTCCGGTATATGAGAACGCAATTGCTACATTGGCAAGAGTAAGCTCGGACACATTTTTGCCATTATTAATAGCAAATGTAACGAATGTTCTTAATGATCCAAGCATTATAAACGTTACAGATGATGAATATTTTACATTTTTAACACCCGATGGCGAACTTTATGATAAGAGTGTAATACCAAACACAGATGATTTATATTCAACAACCGGATTGAAAAGGGAAAATAAGGCTTACAGTTATAAAGAACAAATTGAAGAGCTCCAATTGCGAAGAGAAATTGAAGAAAAAAAGCGTAAAGACGGGAAAGCAAAGCCAATTAAACTTACTCCAAAACAAGAAGAAGTAATAAGAAATCAAACAGAAAAAGAACAACAAATTAAAAACCGTTTGAGGGAACTCAATAACAAACTATTGAATGCAGTGAAAATGTTAGAAGCAACTTTTATTGGAAATATTAACAATATTACCTTGCATTTTCCAAAATTACTAAGTTCCATATTGCTAGCAATGAAATCACCTTTGGCAGCGGAACGTTTGGTGAAACTGTATTTTAATTTTCATAATATATGCTTCGCAAATTCTAGTTTGGGGAAACAACTAGCAATAAATACAATTCGGCTACAAAAACCTCATTGTGATCTGAATAATGACTGGTTAGCCATTAATATTGACGACGCCGTTATATGTGCAATCACTGAACTTAAAACGCACACCTTAGACAGCGGAAACACATTAATGAGTCCTGCGTTTACATATGCATTCGAATTTCTACGCAGAGCGTTATTTTGCACTTGTATTTCATCCAATGAAGAGCTTTTATTATGTGGAATTAAAATTATTGAGTTACATGCACAAATGCGAGGAAAAACTATTCACGGAGCATTGTCGGACTTCTGTCATCCAAGGTATTTGCCGAGTTATGAAATGTTCCAGTTGTTATTAACGATTGTGCGCATATATAGCGGAAGAGTTCAAAATCAAGCCGTGGTTGCCTTACTGGAGGTTGCCAAGTGTAATTCTGGAGAAGATTATTGCTCGATTGCAAATAAAGAGGAAATAAAACTACTTTTATGTGCTTTGGAAGATAGTATGGAAACTGTCCGAGAAGCAGCATTACGATCATTATTAGTTTTACAAAAAGCGATAGAGAACGGATTCGTAAATGACAACGAACTTATGATTACATTTCAAAATATCAATTGGATATCAACATTTGATGTTTTCCCCGAAAATCGCAGCCTTGCCACTGATCTTTGGGAAAAGCTGAATCTAAACGTTCCGGACTATGATCAAATATTACCATATGTGATCCATGATGATATTTCTTTGCAAAAAGCGGCTGCTGATTCATTAGTACCATTACTTAAATCCAACCCTTCCTTGGCAAAATGTGTTTTAAAGAAGCTACTTAAAATTTATAGTGAAAAACTTGAAAAAATCCCTCCAAAATTAGATAAATTTGATCGTGAAATTGAACCTGCTATCGATCAGTGGAGGTCAAGAAGAGGCGTTGCCATAGCCATATCAAAAATTGCTAAATACTTTTCAATAGAAGACGTGAATCATGTGATGCAATTTATGGTCGCTGCTGGCCTTGGTGATCGCGATGAAGTAGTTCATAAAGAAATGTTAGCAGCTGCTCTTACTATTGTCGATATTCATGGAAGGGAAACAATAGTAAATCTTCTTCCGGTGTTCGAGGAATTTTTAGATAAAGCTCCAAAATCCGAAAGCTTTGATAACATAAGACAGGCAGTGGTTATTTTAATGGGATCGTTGGCACGTCACCTTGAGAAGGATGATCCACGAATAGAACCAATCGTTAGAAGGTTGTTGACAGCACTATCAACACCTTCTCAACAAGTACAAGAGGCTGTTTCTAATTGCTTACCTCATTTGATGCCATCTGTGAAAGATGAAGCCGCTTCTATGATAAAACGGTTACTTCATTCACTTGTAAAATCTGAAAAATATGGCGAACGTAGAGGTGCTGCATATGGGATTGCAGGTATTGTAAAAGGGTTGGGTATACTATCTCTAAAGCAGTTCGACATAATGGCCAAATTAACAACATATATCCAGGAGAAAAAGAACTACAAATCTCGCGAAGGCGCGTTATTTGCATTTGAGATTCTTTGTACTACACTAGGCCGTCTATTTGAACCCTATATTGTACATGTACTTCCTCATTTGCTGCAGTGTTTTGGAGATTCCTCACAATATGTTAGGCAAGCTGCCGATGATACTGCAAAAGTGGTAATGGCGAAGTTATCAGCACATGGAGTGAAGTTGGTTTTGCCGTCATTACTTGAAGCCCTAGATGAAGATTCATGGAGAACTAAAACAGCGTCAGTTGAACTTTTAGGGGCAATGGCGTTTTGCGCACCTAAACAACTATCTTCTTGTTTACCTGCCATAGTCCCCAAATTGATCGAGGTTCTGGGTGATTCTCATACAAAAGTACAACAGGCAGGGGCTGATGCTCTTAAGGTTATTGGATCTGTTATAAAAAATCCTGAGATACAAGCAATTGTTCCTGTTCTATTAAAAGCTCTTGAAGATCCGTCCCGAAATACTTCAACATGCCTTCAAAATTTACTCCAGACAAAGTTTGTGCATTTTATCGATGCCCCCTCATTAGCTTTAATAATGCCAGTTGTACAGAGGGCTTTCTTAGACCGTTCTACAGAAACGCGCAAAATGTCGGCTCAAATTATAGGCAATATGTATTCGCTTACAGATCAAAAAGATTTGACTCCATATTTACCCAATATTATACCCGGTCTTAAGATGTCATTACTTGATCCAGTACCAGAAGTTAGGGCCGTTTCAGCGCGAGCATTGGGTGCTATGGTTAGAGGAATGGGAGAATCGTCTTTTGAAGATTTATTACCCTGGTTAATGCAGACACTTACTTCGGAGTCGAGCAGTGTCGATCGAAGTGGTGCAGCGCAAGGGCTATCTGAAGTTGTAGGTGGCCTTGGTGTTGAAAAATTGCACAAACTTATGCCTGAAATAATTGCAACAGCCGAAAGAAACGATATTGCGCCTCATGTAAAAGATGGTTATATTATGATGTTTATTTATATGCCCAATACATTTCCACAAGATTTCACGCCATATATAGGACAAATAATAAATCCTATTCTTAAAGCACTTGCAGATGAAAATGAATATGTTCGTGACACAGCATTAAAGGCAGGCCAACGAATAGTTAATCTTTATGCCGAAACGGCTGTTACACTATTACTACCCGAGCTTGAAAAAGGATTATTTGATGATAATTGGCGTATTAGATTTAGTTCAGTTCAGTTACTTGGTGATTTGTTATACCGTATATCTGGAGTCTCTGGTAAAATGACGACAGAAACAGCAAGTGAAGACGATAACTTTGGAACAGAGCAATCTCACGCTGCAATCATAAGATATTTGGGTAATGAAAGGCGAAATAGAGTACTATCTGGTTTATATATGGGTCGCAGTGATGTTTCTCTAATGGTCCGACAAGCTGCACTACATGTGTGGAAAGTTGTTGTAACGAACACTCCACGAACACTACGTGAAATTCTTCCTACATTGTTTGGACTGCTTCTGGGATGTTTGGCCAGTACCAGTTACGATAAACGACAGGTAGCTGCTAGAACATTAGGTGATCTTGTACGAAAACTCGGGGAGAGAGTATTACCTGAAATTATACCTATATTAGAAAGTGGTTTAAACTCTGAGCATGCAGATCAACGCCAAGGCGTGTGTATTGGATTATCTGAAATAATGGAATCTACATCAAAGGAAATGGTACTTTCATTTGTCAATAGCTTAGTGCCAACCGTAAGAAAGGCATTATCAGATCCTCTTCCAGAAGTAAGAATTGCAGCAGCTAGAACGTTCGATTCTCTTCACTCTACAGTGGGATCAAAGGCTTTAGATGACATTTTACCATCAATGATGGAAGGGCTATCAGATCCTGATCCGGAACGAGCAGAGAACACATTAGATGGACTGCGTCAGGTTATGTCCATTAAATCACGTGTTGTATTGCCATATTTAGTTCCACAACTGACGTCACCGCCAGTAAACACAAAAGCCCTTTCCATTCTTGTTTCAGTAGCTGGAGATGCACTAACAAAATATTTGCCAAAAATTCTACATGCTCTTTTGCAAGCGCTCTCCGAAGCACAGGGCACTAGTAACGAAATGCAAGAATTAGAATACTGTCAGACAGTTGTGTTGTCGGTAACAGACGATGTCGGTATTCGAACAATTATGGATACTTTAATGTCTTCAGCTAAATCTGAAGTATCATCCACCCGAAAATCTTCAGTTAGTTTGTTGTCAGCGTTCTGTATACACTCACCAGGCAACTACACGCAATATGTACCACAGTTGTTACGATGCCTTCTTCGACTTTTAGCAGAAAATGACAGAGATATACTGCAATACTCATGGGAAGCATTAAATGCAGTGGTAAAGGGTTTGGACTCTTCGCAACAAATTGCTCATGTTTCCGACGTTAGACAAGCTGTCCGTTTTGCAGCCAGCGATTCTAAGGAGGCGGAATTACCAGGATTTTGTTTACCAAAAGGCATTACACCATTGTTACCTGTTTTCAGAGAAGCAATTTTAAATGGTCTACCAGAAGAAAAGGAAAATGCAGCACAAGGTCTTGGAGAAATCATTGTTCTTACAAGTGCACAATCTCTTCAACCATCTGTAGTTCATATAACCGGTCCCCTTATTAGGATCCTAGGAGACAGATTCAATGCGGGTGTAAAAGCTGCTGTCCTTGAAACACTAGCCATATTGCTCCATAAAGTTGGTGTTATGCTTAAACAATTTTTACCTCAGCTACAAACCACATTTCTAAAAGCATTGCACGATCAGAACCGTTTAGTCCGCATGAAAGCTGGATATGCGTTGTCAGAATTAGTTGTTATTCATACAAGGGCTGATCCTATTTTCAATGAGATTCATAACAGTCTTAAATTGAGCGACGACTCAGCCACGAGAGAAACAATGTTACATGCTCTTCGGAATATTATTACTCCAGCAGGAAATAAAATGTCAGATTCCCTTAAAAAACAAGTCATCACTACTTTAATTTGTTTGCTTGGACATCAGGAGGATGTAACGCGTGGCGCGGCAGGAGGTTGTTTGGGAGTACTTTTAAAATATCTTCCCAGCAATGAAGTAAATGACCTGATTTGTAATTATATGCTTTTGGATGATGGTGATTTGGCGTTTAACCACGGACGTACAGTGTTTTTATTTGTTGGGCTTAAGGAATGTGCAGAAATTATTTTAAATTCAGGACACGAAGAACAACTTTTAGCATCCGTAATTTCCCATATATCATCTGATAAAATTCCTATTGCCAGTAACGGAATACGAGCAGCAACATACATTATTAAATATAAAATAGAAAATCAGAAATCGTTACCAACTCAGGTTGTATGGAGTTTTTCGCGGGCAATGAATCACACCAGTAATGAAATAAAGCAACTGGTTGCTAAATGTTGCAATTATATTGCAACTTCTTCACAAGTTGACGAACTACCAACGGAATTAATGAAATCATTAATACCCATGCTTGTTAATGGAACAAAAGAAAAGAATGGATATGTCAAGTCAAACTCTGAAATTGCTCTGGTATCCATTTTACATTTGAGAAAAGGTGAGACTGTGTACGATCACGTCTGTCAAGTTCTTGATCCAGGTGCTAGAGATTCTCTATCAGAGGTTGTAAGTAAGGTTCTAAGAAAAGTTGCTGTTCAACCACCAGGAAAAGATGAAGAATTGGATGACACGATTTTAGTTTAATATATATATATATATATATATAACTTGAAATGTAATTATACTTCTTATTAAAGGTTAGCATTATCACAAATAAAATGTCCTTGAATATTATCAGATATATAAATAAGAGTAAAACGACGAGTCATTGATTGGATGGATCAATAGTAGAATCTGTCATTTTTGAACAGCTAAAGGTTTGTATTCGCCTCACCTATTATATCATCAATAGCGGAATTAAAGAATGCTTGGCATTGACATTTAAGACCTATTATTGTAAATGTTACAAAATGTCAAAATCATGAAATTTGTGAGTGCCAACTAGGTTCATATGATAAAGTTTTTTGGGTCAACTGCAAACAGTTTGGACATACGGCAAATTATAGAGGATGTAGTGCGTATAATGAATATATTTCTTATAGGAGAAAGAATGCTGAAATTACAAAATCTCAGAATATTGAAAGTATTAGAAATGTGACATGTGCGTTGAATAAATAAGATTTTTGCTAGTGCTATTAAAGGTGCTAGTGGAATATTTGCTAAACAAGAAAAGCCTGTTTTGGTTCAGGAATTTTTAAAGGTTGCAAAACTGTTATGCGGTCCCGAGTTAACCCTGGAGGAGCGGTTAAAACAATGTATGGCTAATTACAAACATATGTCAAAGGATCAAGCAAAGGCCGAGTGCTTGAAATTGCTAAAAGATGTTCAAGATGAGTACTCACCATAGAGGATTAAACTTAATCACATTCAATGTTGGATCTCTTGTCAACATTTGTAGAAAAATCGAACTGAACATATTACTAGATCAATATAAAGCCAATATAGCTTTTTTGCAAGAGTTGCATTTACCAGTGGGCAGAAACATATATTTAGATAATTTTATTGCTTTGCGTGACAATAGTGTGCTAGGGGAAGGTATAGCAATTAGAAAAGGTATTTCATATACAAAGATTACTATTCCGGATCGCAGACTTATGTGTGTTGGCTTAACGTCAATTTTAAATTTTGTAGAAAATTTTGATGGCTTTATAGTAGCAGGTGATTTAAATGCTAAAAATTTTGTTTGGGGGATGAAATTAACGACTATCAAATTGGCTTGGTACCGAAAATTTGAATGTGTCTAGAATTTGTGATTCACATCCCATCTATCCAGGTGGTTCGTCTTATTCGGACCACTTTATAATTAGTTCACACAGAAAAATTCAACATTTTTCCTAACGATTTTGCTTCATTCAACATGATTTTTCAGTAAAATTAAAATAGCATTTTTTCTCTTAAAAATAACACGAAACCAAGCAAATTTAACTGTGTTGTTATAGTTGAATCAATGAGATTATCATTTTGAAATAATTTGAAATTCTTATTAAATTAACATTTTTAAAGTTAAAATAACACGAATTCATGATGAATCAACACGAATGTAATGTTGAATTAAGTATGAAATCATATTAAAATAAAGTGAAGACATGTTGAAATGATACGAAAACCCCATTGAAACCACTTGGAATTTCATGTTGAAATAACATTTGTTCATGTTGAAATGTTATGTATATTTTGGTTATTTATTTATTATTTTCTTTAACTTGTCTACAACGTGCGATTGGAAATGTTCATAATGAGCAATTGCAAAGGAATTCGTAATTTGCTACCACAAGACTTCAGTTCGCTTTGCCTTAATGAAATGTTCTTTGCCATTTGTCTTTAACTTCATCCCAGTAAGAAAAGTCAACATTTTGTAATGTTGATTTTACATACGTTTTTTTTCTGTGTGTTGTAATACACTAGGTTATCAAAATTATTCAAAATGTACTTTGCCTACTTTTTCAGATCACTTACCTCTTAAACTTGAACTGTCCTTCCCATAATTTGATTTCATACTAAAAATTCCTGATAACTTTATTTCCTTCAAAAATACAAATTGGAATGCATTTAAAAATTATACTGAAATTTATCAAACAGTGAAATATACACTTTTAAAGACGAGTTCGTAACAACGGTTCGGATCGTAAAGATCCACACTTCCGAAGTTAAAGGACAAAGTCCAAAATTTATAGTTTCGAATAATTTAAAGAAATTATTAAAAATAATATGATTGGCAAAGAGATCAAAAAAAAAAAAAGAAAATTTACTCTCGCACACTCGATGTTAAAATCAAAACAAATTCAGTTGATAAAAATAATTATTAAAGAAAAGCTGAACTAGACAAAGCTAATATTTTTAATAAAAAACTTGAAAAAAAATAAAACCTGGAGCTTGGGCGTACAAGCAAATCTTCAGACTTATCGGGAAAAATCATAAATCTAAATTAAATGATATTTCGGTAAATGGGCTAAATATGTCGGATAAAAACTAGAAGTCCTTAACGATCATTTTACTTCCATTTATCAAGGTTCCCCTCCCAATAGAGACACATCCCACATAGATGACACTATAAACAAAACAATTTCTACTGTTCCGGACTTTTTGTGCACCTTTGATCAAGTTACGTCGTCTTTGAACAACCAAAACAACCCTATTTACACATGTTTGAGGTCTCTTGTTGAAATTGTAAAATGTTAACAGTTATATTAAGTAATTGTATTAATAACGGTTATTCCCCCCGAGCGTGGAAGATAGCTAAATTAATACTATTCGGAAAAAACCTGACAACAATGACATTAATAATTTAAGGCCATTTCCTCACTTTCTAATTTAACAAAACTCTTTGAGAAGATTATTAAGGACAAAATGAATTTAGGTTTGCAAGACTCTTATATATCCCAGTATCAATTTGGATTCAAAAAGGAAAATTTCACTGTTTACGCATTATTGAAATTTCATAATGAAATTGTACAGAATTTAAGGGAAGGAAGATGTACTGTCGCCGTCTCTCTTTATATCGAAAAAGCTTTCGACAAAGCCTACCATAATGGTATTTTGTATAAATTGATTTCAATTGGGTTCCAACCTGCGATGGTTAAATTACAATGTGATACAAAAAAAATCCGGGGTTCTAATGTACTAATTTCGTTTAGTTGGAGTCCCTGGACCACGAAAATACCTTTGATTTTCTGAGTCACTTCGAAAATTAGTTTTATAAGGGTGAATGTAGAGAAAAACTTGGTTTCATAGATTTTCACTTTGAAACGCGTATAACTTCATTTCTTTTTAACGGATTTATATCGGTTGCGGATTGGCTGAGTTACAGTGGTTGAAATGTGAAAAATATGATATCAAGCCGTATAAGTTTTATTATATTACGGGGAAGACAATTAAATAAATGTGCAAAATCAAAAAAAAAAAAAAAAAAAAATCGTGTAAAAAATGGACGACTTATACACATTTTTGTATTGAATCTATGCATATTCTCTAAAGGAAATGTGGGTCTATCTCGTTTCCTTTTGTCTGTTACAAACATAATATGGAAATGATATAGATCCATAGTTTCTTTACAGAATATGCATAAAATCAATACAAAAATTTGTACAAGTCATCCATTTTTTAACCGATTTTTTTTTGATTTTTCTAATTTTCGATGTCAAAATTTCATCGTACAGTCCGAAGAAAAATAAATTTTGCCTTTTTATTTGTATTTTCCCCAGGGACCGAAAATAACCGTTATTTTTAAAAATGCGAAAAAAATCTTTGTGTTAGAGATATGGGACACATATAGTGTCATATACCAATAGATTCGTATTGACGACCTCATTAAGGATATTGGGTGATCTTGAGAAAACGCTCTCAATTCACATGTGGAGAATAATTTTTCAACGGAAAAAATAAACGTTGATTTTTAACAGTTAAAAATTATTATTTTTTCCGTTAAAAATAAAAGTCTTTTTGGGATTTTTATTTTTTCCGTTAAAAATAAGTCTTTTGGGGATTTTTATTTTTTCCGTCCGAAAATAAAACTCTTTTCGGGAGTTTTATTTTTTCCATCAGAAAATAAAACTCTTTTTACGCAAAGAATCTTATACAAATCGTAATCAGTTATAAAATTACAATTTATAAATCCCTGTTCTTATTACAATAAGTGTACACATAAGTGATCAAGATCAAATGTAAAAAATATTTGTTATAAAATTTTAGAAAATAGTCTATAGTGTATAAAATCATGAATATTAATTAAATAATCATTCCCTGACTGTTAGGTCAAAGGTTATATACCAGGTACCAAACCTTATATGTTTATTTACGTAAAAAGAGTTTTATTTTCTGACGGAAAAAATAAAAGTCCCAAAAAGAGTTTTATTTTTGACGAAAAAATAAAAGTCCCAAAAAGAGTTATATTTTTGACGGAAAAAATAAAAGTCCCAAAAAGAGTTTTATTTTTGAAGGAAAAAATAAAAATCACAAAAAGACTTTTATTTTTGACGGAAGAAATAAAAATTGTAGAAAAAGTTTCATTTTTAACGGAAAAAATAACAGTCATTTTTTAACTGTTAAAAATCAACGTTTATTTTTTCCGTTAATAAATAAATAATTAAAATGGATTTTTTTATTTAAGCCATATAATAACAGTTATTTTATACATGATTTGATATAACTTATAACCCTTACGGTTCCTTATTTTTTCATATTCCAATAATATAAATCCGTTATAAATTAAATATGTTTTTCCCGTCTCTAATTGAAAATCTATTAGACCACGTTTTCCCTACATTTACCGTTATAAAATTAATTTTCGAAGTGACCCAGAAAACCCAAAGGTATTTTCGTGGTACAGGGACTCCAACTAAACAGAATTTGTACATTAGAACCCCTGAAAATTTTTCGTGTCGCACAGTGTTATTCAAGAGCTTTTTTTATGATAGAGGTGTTCAGATTGGGAATACCATCTCATTTATGGGTACAATGTCATGTGGAGTGCCGCAAGGCTCGGTATTGTCTCCCCATCTACTTAACATTTCCATTTACGATTTTCCTCATGAAGTAAATGGATCAAAGGGTATACTTTATGCCGATGTTTCTCTTACCTTTGTACATGATGAATCTCCATTTGTTGCACTACAGCGTGTCTCAACGCATCTTAATCAAGTAAACAATTTTT